GAAATAGGTAGGTGTCTAAACTTAACTAATCAATGTGAAAATCATATTAACAAGCACAGCAGTTCTTCCATCCTTTACAAATCAATTGAACTTTTAAAATTTGTCTTTTCACCCTTTCAGGGAGAGCTGGCACAGACACTACAGTTAGTCTGGCTAAGTCCACTGGCTGCTCCGTTTCAGCCTCTTTGTAGGCTTTGACTTGCTTACCATCTTCTCCTCCAAAATTACAAAGCAAGAGCTCCCAGCTGTGGCCTGAAATCTGCTTTTAGCCTTTAAACTGCTGGAGATGTTAAAGCATACAGAGGATATTAGTGTTTCCTGTAACAAGTCCTCATCTTTGACAACACCTGCTCCCTCTAATAGTGGGTGGAAAAAAAACAAACCCAAATTCCCAAGAGAAGTCATTTCTCATGCCAAGTTACTCTTGACTGCCTTGCACAGAGAGGAGATTCTAGGACAGTAATGCTGCCGTCCTGAGGATCGAGCTGATCTCTTTTCAGGGAGGCTCACAGAGCTCAAGGAAAATGGGAAGGCTTTTTTTTTTTAAGGCTGGGGGGAAATCCAAAGAGTGCTATTGAGTTCTCAGCATGGACTACCAAGTAGGGAAGGGATGGCTCCTTGCTTACAGAGCCTGAAGTGGAATTCTCCCCAGCAGAGATGTTAACAGGTTCAAAACACAGACCCAGGGTTGCCAACTTTGGTTGGATAAATGCCTGGAGATTTCATCACATGACAATCTTTAATTCCTGGCAACTCCAGGACAATCCTGGATGGTTGGCAGCCCTACAGACAGCTAAAACACAGTATTAAAAAAGAAAGACTCCTCTGACCAAGGTACATCCTCAGCTCTCTCCACATCACACTGAGTCACTGACAGTGGAGGAGCCTGCAGTTCAGAACCACAGTTGTTCCTTGTTTACTCTTAGTCCCGCTGAGGTGAAACAAGGCAGAGGGCCTCAGGCAGGGGCCGCCTACCAAGGGGAGGCCGCAGCAGGGTGAAAGATGGCTGCAACCCCTCCTTTGGAGAAATGGGGTGCTGCTGGCTGGGTTGAGGGCCTGGTCAGTATGGCTGATTTGGTAAGGGCCTACAGAACACCCAGGGGAAACTTCTATGGGTCCCCCTGGACAGGGCAGGCTGTGCTTACACAGCTGAGGTGAATGTAGCCCTCGCTATTGAGAAAGCAACTGCAGTTTCTTGGCACTAGGAATGGCTAAGTACTGTGCAGAAGGCCCAGAACATATGCAAAGTCAGGAAGTTCTGAGCTCACCCCCAGCTTCCTGTTTCAAAGCAGAAAAGTCCCCTCCTATAGGAGACCTAGTGAAACATTTCAGTAGAGAGAAAAGGGACCAAGCCCCAGTACTCACAGATACAGATTGCTCCAGAACAGCTTGCAACAAGCATCAGGAAGCAGTTTAGCCCTTTGAGAACCTCTCAGCCAGAAAAGCCTTTCTCGCTCTCTTTTCAATCTCTCCACCTTTCTGAAGAGGGTTTCTAGAGTTAGAGATGCCCTCTTCTCCCTGACTGGGCTACACGCAGCTGCCTTCTCTCCTTTCCAGTCAGAACAAAGGGAGGGAAGCAGCTGGACCCGTTAACCTTTGCTGGCTGACTGCCCTTCTCCCATATGTGTGTGAGTGCAGCTGTAGTGAAAGAGGCCTTTACATTCCCCTATATGTTCAGAAACCATGGAAGTGCTCACATACCACAGTGATGGAGGACAAATAAAGATAAATATCCCACCTGAGCAGTAGATATAACAACTGCATGGAATTACACCAGGGTACTCAGACATCAACAATGTTAACATCTCTGACGAGGTTATCATCAGGGTCTGGCTATATGGGTTTTTTTCTTAAAGCCCCAGCTTCTGGAATCATGTCATTTCATGAGACTTTCACCTTGTGTTTTAAGAACAAGTGAGTTTCTAGCACTCATGGCTGTGGAGAGAAGCTTGCAAATGTGGTCCAAGTGCACCATAAAGGCTCAAAAACAAGAAGGCAAATAAAAATATTTTTTAAAAGTCATATTTTTAAGCCAATTTCATGATTTTTTTTGGGGGGGAGGAGGGCTGACTCTTGATCACTGAATATTTGAGGTTGTCAATACTGTAAAAAAGGGCTTATTAGCTGCCTGCCTGGTTGTGTTCATGTGTATTTACCATGTGCAGTTTCTGTAATTACATATGCAGATATGGTGTGTGTGCACATAGTTGTGAAAAATCTGGTCCTGCATCATGTGATAGTGAATTTAGGCACTAGTGCTTTGAAGAAAACTGTAAAAAGCAACAGAGGGTAGTTTCAATTGCCTGATTGACTTGACTCTGTCACCAACACATTTTTTTTCCAGTGAGAGATTTACAGGTTTTATTTGTGGGTGCAAAAAAAGGGAGGGTGGATTTTAAAAAGTCTGGGATTACCGTAACACACAAATATACAAATCATCAATATTCATAAGCACTCAGAACACTGCTTTAATTGCTTTGATATTCTTGGTTAGATTTTTAATCCTCTAGTTTAAAGGTCCTTCAGGATCTAATGTACAATTCCCAGGAGAATCTAGAAACATCACATGGACGTGGTGTAATTAAAAATGGTTTGATAGAGAGGCATGTGAACAGCAGGCCTGGTGGCCCTTTGATTTACAGATAAACTCACAGAGTAAGTCACTCTTCCCTGATCTGGATTGTGAAGAGCATGTTAATCTCTCTGAAACAAAACATCCTCAGGAAATTGTATCAGTGCTGAGACATACTGTGATGGGATGGGGGTGGGGTGGGGGGCGAGGAGGGACAATAGGAATTAAAACAGAGGTGGGCAAACTACGGCCCGCGGGCCACATCTGGCCCACAGGACAGTCCTGCCCGGCCCCCGAGCTCCTGGCCCGGGAGGCTAGCCCTGGCCCTTCCCCCGCTGTTCCCCCTCCCCCGCAGCCTCAGCTCGCTCGCTCCGCCCCCGGCGCAATGCTCTGGGCAGCGGGGCTGTGAGCGCCTGGGGCAGCACCACTGCAGAGCCCGGCCTGACCCGGTCTCTGCGCTGCGCGGTGGCGGTGGCGTGGCCCGGCTCCAGCCAGGCGGCGCGGCTGTAGTGCCGCCAGCCACCAGTGCTCCAGGCAGTGCGGTAAAGGGGCAGGGGGCACGGAGCAGGGAGGGTTGGATAGAGGGCAGGGGCATTCGGGGTGGTGGTCAGGGGGTGGGGGTGTGGATAGGGGTCGGGGCGGTCAGGGGGGGAAACGGGGGTTGAATGGGGGCAGGAGTCCCAGGGGGACAGTCAGGAAGGAGGGGGGCTTGGATGGGGCGGCAGGGGGCAATTAGGGGCAGGGGTTCCAGGGACAATCAGGGGACAGGGAGAAGGGGTGTTTGGATGGGGCAGGAGTCCTGGGGGGGACACAGATAGGAGGTGGGGGCTGGGCCACGACTCTCTCCCCTAACCGGCCCTCCATACAATTTACAAAACCCAATGCAGCCCTCAGGCCAAAAAATTTGCCCACCCCGAATTAAAAACATGTGGCCACATTCTCAACTGGTGCATTTCTGCATAGCTCCATTCACTTCAGTAGAATTAGGCTGAGGTATAGGACCTGCTCCATTAAGTCTAAGGAGAAATCAAAGACACCCACAAAAAATCCTTGGGAATAGAAGGAAGAATGGCTGGAGTTGGGTACAGGGGTTGTTACTGAAACACTAAAGCTCACGGGGCCATATCTTGCTACCATTTACATTGGTGTAAATCAGGAGTTACGCCACATTTACACCAGTGGTACTGAGAGTAGATTTGGCCCTGTCAGTGGTTTTAGGGGAATTAATAAGCAAAAAGGAAAGGAGGCACGTTCATGAAGGCTGCCAGGGTTCATTTTGTGCTTGAATCCCGATGCTGCCAGGCAAATCCAAGGAACTGATTTCGGTAGTGAATTTGATCAGGTGACAAATGCTGGGGGGAAACCTAGCATCAGAGACGTTAATTCATCATTTTAGTGTCTGTTCTCTTTTGTGTTCGACACAGTGCAAGGGTATAAGATCATTTTAGAATTCTGCCCTTTATTTACCGTGATACTAGAATCACTCTCATGGTGCCTGCGAGTCTCCGTGTTAGCCCGTTGCTGGCACTCACGCTGGCTTTGGAACCTCCAGACTCCTACAGTGTAACATCTATTTCAGGCAGGAAGCGAGGATCCTTAATATTGCCAGAAATCAGTAGAAACCCTTTTATCTCTCTGTTGGCTGGATTATTGTTCGAAAGCTAGCAAATGCAATAACTATAAAGGCTTGTGTGTGGGTGTTCAATTACCTGAGAGTCTCTGCAGATATTAGCAGCATCTCTTGGGGAAGTCTCATTTGGTATGCAAGATAAAATCGCTCTGGCACTGATCATATGATTTGAAGACTCAATCCTGAGGCAGCACTACTGAAAGGGGAGGTGAAGCTGCAGAAGACACTCACTCAGTTCAGACAGCAGGAAACTGTGAGCAGCACATGAATTTTATTCACCAGGCACTAGTAACGCTAGTGGACTGCTCTGTCATATCTGTAACCAGGAAACCACCCTGCATAGAGAGGCTTTATTTCTAGCAAGGCGATGTTTTTTCAGGATGTATCATTGTTGATGCTAGAAAAGGGGCACCCATTGCTACATGAGCGGAGGCAGTAATTGCTGCAGAAGATTTCCAAGAACCCCATTTGATTCTCAGGGTAAATGCCTCCTCAAGAATGAATTTAACTGTAGTGGGGCACTATTTTCAGCTGACTTTGTTTGGAAAATAGGATGAAAAGAATGTATACGTCAGGGAAGGATTACACTGATAGCAGAGCAAACTAGAGGAAAACTTCCACCTGCACTGCTGGCATTTGGGAAGAATAAAAGAACTAAATATCCAGCTTTCGGGATTCCCTTCCTTCACTGACCGGAGATGATTTTCTGAGGAAAACCCCAACACCTGCACCTAGCCCAGTACAGACTTTTGCAAGAACAGACATGGTACAAAATGTGATTTTGGTGTTTTTCCGCAGGCGCCTGAGCCAAAGACCTGCTGTCGAGGAGCTCGAACGAAGGAATATACTTAAACGTGAGTACTTTAAAAAAATAATAGCATTTTGTATGTTTGTATTGAAACTACTGAGTACATTTCTCCGAGCCATTTCTCCGCTGTAGACAAGTTCATGCCCTCCCTTTGGGAATGGATTTGTAACCAATGGAATTTTCACTGGGGTGTGTTCTGGTGTCTATTATGTGTACTTGTCTGAAGGCATACCACTTAATGCAGAAAAAAGGAATACAAATGTAAATTTTCAAATAATTCCTGCTGTTATGGCTGCATGAGGAAGGAAGCATGGTCTTGGTGTGAGTCAGTTTAGCAATCACCTCGATTATCATTTTACAAAGAGTCAGGGCACACTGTCAATTAAAATCCATCAATGCCAAAGTGAAGCACATAAGCATCCTTGCAGAACAGTGACTTTCCTAGCAAGTCAATTGCATCAGAGCCGTTCCTGACCTTTCTAATTTAAACAGAAACTGAATTAAAGACAGGAAAAGGCAAATTGAGACAGTTCAAGGGTATCAGACTCCTTGCCTGTTACTATTGTCTGAGCTGCTGGAGACATTTGCTGAACTTCCTTTAGATGGCCGGGGAATCCCCAAAACGATGAGAACAGGGGAATCCTGAAAATTGTTTCTGTTGTCACATGGGGTATCTGGACGGAAAAGGTGGAGTTCCACTGCTTTAAGGAAAAGTATCATACATTCTGCTCTATTCATGGTGTATCTTAGCACCAAAAATGTAAAAGACTTTATTATGTGAAAAATAACCAATTACTTGTTCAAACAAGCGTGAACAACTTAATGGAATACGTGGTTGCATTCTATGAAAGCAATGCTGTCTTTGGCTTTTAAATCAGATCTAATCATTTCGAAGGTTGTATTTCACTAGTACACAAAATTGCCTAAATAATTTGCCTACTTTAATCATAATTTCATGTCACAAGATGAGCCTGATGTTCTAATCTGACCATTTGTTCAGGTGTTTGACAGATTCATTTTCTTGCTTAAACTGAAGAAAGAAGTCCCTGTGAACATGGGGGACATTAGTTTTCCAGAATGGTTTAGATTTAGGAAGGGTCGTCTTTACAAAGTTAAATTGTGCATCCCAATTTTTCTCCTGAAGGAGAAAACTAGAAATGTATAGGCAAATTATACTAAGAAAGAGGGAAAAAGCAGCATGACCACAAAGATTACAGTGTCACCTTAATTTGTGAGGATTTGGATTGCATGCTGCTTTTTCTTTCTTATCAGTTTATACAAGAGGGCCTGATGCTGCTCTCATTGAAGTCAATAGGATTTGGAGACAGAGGGAACTGAAGGGGACTCCTTGGTCATCTTCGGTTGGTTCAGTTATTCAAGTACATCAAACCATTTACTTTGTAAATAGTTCTTATGACATGTAAACTAATAACCCACTCAATGCATACCCAGATTTATTTACACATATTCAAAAATACAAATAACACAACACAAATTCTTGTGACCTGTAAACATATTAACCCACTTTAACCTCAACCCCTCGCTCTCAAAAGGAAAATTAATTGATCTAAAAATGTCTGTATCAGATGGGGCCAGATTTGCAGAAGAGTGGAACACTCTGCATCTCCCATTGAACACCTGCTCCCTTCATTCTCTGGTCTAAATCAGAGCTGAGCTCCTCTGAGAATCTGGTCCTTCATGTTTGTTACTTTCTGATGTACGCTGGCTACATCCTTAATCTAGGTTAAACTGACCAGCTTTAATATATAAAAAACCCCACATTGTGTTACATTCATATAATGAGCTTACAGAGGGAGCTAAAGCAGAACAGAAGATGAAGCAGAATTAAAGATATGTCCTCAATGCCAGCTAAGCATACTGGGTTAGATTTACCATGCATAAATCTGGAGCAACTCTGTCAGCTTCAGCGCAGTTACTCTGGGTTTGCACGGGGTGCACTTGGATCAGAAGCTGCACAATTCTACTTACTTTACCTTTTTCATGACATAAAAATGTCAGTTACATTGCAAAGAACCCAGGTCATCACTGGGCCAGCAGGGACATTAGAACATGTGACAAAGAAGGGTAAATAATTTGACTGCAGCTGTTGAAAAGTCAGTGTTCAAGTTAGTGATAGAGATCCTGACACTGTTCCCAATGACTTCAATGAGAGCATGATTGGATCTGATCTTGCCAAACCATGATTATGTCAGTACCCCCACTGAAATCAGTGCGACCTCATGACTTGTAAGTGCTATTATGATGTTACTTTTTTAAAGTATTCAGGAGATGAAGAGAAATAATTTTTTTTACTCTCCCTCATGGAGGCAACTCTTGGATAAGAGAGGTACTTAAAAAAACCCAACACTTATTATCTTATTGATTTTATTCATTCCTATAGCTTTAAATATGGAAGAACCCTGCTTGTTCAGTACAGGGCACGACTGCCACAGGAACTGTGTGTTCAAACCTAAAAATCAGTCCCAGGAGTTCAGATGGGTTTTCTATTATATTCTGAGAGCAAGCCATTGATATTCATATTCAAACAGGCAGCTTCTCTTACATCGGATTGTACAATCCCTGCTTCATTCTTAACACTGGTGATTGCTGCCGTGTCATGCATAGTTTAGAATTCCCTGCATAACTCATACAGAGCAAGGGTGTGAGTTACACTGCTGCATGTGACACTGTGTAATGGGACTGTTACTCCATTGAGATGTGTAGCGTTAAAGTCAGCCATTTACTAATGAATGAATCCAAATACAGCAATGTGAAGTTGCTGTGAAAACCTCTCTAGTTCTTCTCTGTACTAATGTTTGCATTCTGTAATATCCCTGCTGACACTTCCTTCCATCAGATAGGTAAAGTTTACCAAGATCTTGCATATGCTTCCTGATGAATTGCTTTTCATACTTCCACAATTGTTAAGCAAAACAAGTTTAATTTACCTAAATCTAGATGTGCCATTATCATAGATTCATAGATTCTAGGAATGGAAGGGACCTCGAGAGGTCATCGAGTCCAGTCCCCTGCCC